CGATATCAATTCCATCGAAGCCGAGATCTACGACAAACCCGTATCAACAAAATTCCGCCGCTTGGTGCTAGATACAAGCATAAAGAAAGGTGGGGGAGGATTCTCGCGGTAGCTCCACCCACCGATGGAAAACATAGTTTTGAGATGGCGGTGCTTCTTCTTCAACAGGAACATCTGCTTGATATTCCCACATACATTTTCTCCCGGCGCAGTGGTATTATCTCCAGGGTACGCATACTGGAGATCGGCCCAAGGTGTCACTCAATATCCTATGTATAATGTCTTTTGCTGAGCTATCTCTCCAAAGACGTTGATGTGTTCATACACGCTGCCAGTAGTAGTGTTGACGTTGGCGAAAACATAGACAAGATAGGTCAAGTTCTCTGCTGGAACATCGGTGATGAAGTAGTTGGCTCCGTAGATATCCTGTATGTATCGCAGAAAGTACTATTAAACTAAAAATTCGTCGGGGAATGAAAGTTCAGCGTGAGTTCGCTCATTGCCGGTGCCGAAGTAGGCAGCGGCTTTCATCCACCGTGGATTCCACGCGAAGGGGTGCCGCAAAGAGATTTCAAACTTGCCATATCTATGATAATGTCTAGGCTTCTCATGCTGGCCCAAGGCACTGACAACGACAGAGAAAAGTATGGAAAGGGAGCTGAGACGCAATTTGCGACAGTGGTGTTCGGCAGGCATCGTTTTGAAGTGATCAGTTCAGGGAATGACTAAGGTAAGTATACAGGAACAGAATGAGTGGACGGTTCAACAAAAGTAACCGGGCGATACTGTCCTCGAAACTGTGCAAATGCGACCCTTTCATAATTTAGTGAATATGGGGTTTCTTAAGATTACAGTCAACCTGCTGTATGTACAATTCCCCTGTTGGGTCGGCAAAAGGGACACAGTTTAACCCTTCGGACGCCCCGAAAGGCTCGATTCATCTTAAATAAGTTCAGGAGCAAAGTAAGCCCGGTTGACGCACCACTGGAGCTTCATGAAAGTGCGGAGCTAATTAGAGCAGATTATTTATCCGGTAAAGCCTCCATCGGCATAACATTGAGTTCTAGAGGAATTTCCCGGGTGGATATATTCGGTTTTTAGGTAACGGATCCGCAGATCTTGCGACCAAGACCAATGGGTGGCGCGATGAAAATTGAGGAAAGCAGATAAGGCATCTTACTTTCGGTACGGAGAGACCCTTTTATTGTTGCCTTACTGGTCACCACCGCGTACGTACTCTGCAACCGCCGTAAGCAAAATTGCCAAGAAGCCAACAGGTCCTACACCTTATTCAAAATACTCGCCATTCTATTGGCCGGCTACGAGCCTTTGATTCGAGTCGGAATGATGCCTAGTAAGCACGCGCCCACAGTTGTGGAGCAGCATCTGTAAGTGGAAGCGAATGGATTCGGGAGGCGCGCTAGGAGTGAGGCGGCATTATATTAAACACATTACTAAGGTACAGTGACCCAGCCCATTTTGTCTCAACCCCGCCCACCGTGAACCTTCCGAGATTCGTCTGTCATATTCGGGTAAGTTATGTAACCGTTCTGTAGCATTTCGAACTAACTTTACAAGTCGAAAGGTAGTTGCCCCATTCCCATCGCAGATTACAGCCTAGCACTGGGGAACCAACTGGCATGATTGACGAACTATCAAAAGAGACCGTGACTGAGAATTAAACTGTTACTCTACATCATCGCATGAGTTTTGGTAATGTGGAGATATCAATCCCGACACCCGAAATGCTGCCGCATTGGAAGATCCATCGGTTGGTTTCCAAATCGTTAACTATGCCCCGTATTCGTGAGTTCTACTTGCCGTATGCATCTTGTAAGCGGGTATTGTGGAGCAAGCCGCAGCGCAGTATTGTGTCGTTCGATTAACCAGTTCGATAAGGAGGGGCACAACATCATACCTGGATAGAAATTGAGATTAAAGTTAAACCTCGGCTCGGATGATCTCCCATCAAGAATTTTGATTGTACAGTGGTGTAACAGAAGTATTTGACCTCCGTTACTTCCCTAGCAACAAGTACTCGCGCCAGGGGGCGCCAAACCCCTGTTAATATTGGGGCCAGTACATATTAAGTTTAAGAGGCGGTTTCATAGATAACTGGGGTTCAACTTCTACATACCTAAAAGGACCGTCTCCACAAAGGGTTAACTGCAACAGAAAGGTGGTATCCTGTGTTGCCAAAAGGCCTTCCGTAAAGTAATATCAAGGCGGCATAACTGTCCTAGTGGCGGAAGAGGAAACTAGGATATCTTTCTTTATCCGTTTTTAGTCTTACCCTTGAGGCATTTGTCTCAGACAACGGGAGGTAGGAAACAATCAACTGAATACTTACTAACACGAAAATCGGCTATACCGATTGTGCTCTAAGCTAAGGAAAGCAATCCCCGTCTCTATTAACCTCGCACCTCCTTGCCATATATGTCTACATAGGCTCAATAGTAACTAGCTCAACGATGGAAATTTTCACTTTCGTTATTTTTACGTGTATTCGCCCTCAACCCAAACTTGGCGTTAGAGTTAGAGTTTAACATGCCATTTCAACGCCTCCGCGATAAAATACAAGGTCAGCAGCCGCACTTGACACACGACACCCATCAACGGAACTATGGGCGAAAATTAACTAAGAGCTTGGTGCAGTAAATATCTCTACTCAATGCCTCGCATGCTGCGCTAGCGATAGTAATAGTGGGAAGTGTGCAAAGAAGACTTGTTGAAATTATGCTGATCACGTCGAGGAAGAACTCAATTATGACAATTATCGAGCAGATCCGAAAACGTTCGACCTCATCTGAACTAGAGGAGGGTAATCGACTACTGGCCCAGACCATTAGCATCATCTAACACTGGATTGGCATCTAAGAAACTGCGGTCCGGAATTCGTGGCGTCATACCGAAGACATTACAATTTCTATGAATCTTGGCTTCAAAACAGGCCCGAGTTATTCCCCAAGTCATCAATGAGAATGGTTAACTTAGAGTTTCAGCTCAACGTTAATAGAATTACAAATAAATACAACTACAATGGTAATGATTCTATCGAATACCATATGGTATTCCCTGTCGTGCGGCGGTCTTGGGCATGTAAAGTCTAACAGCGCCACTGGGGAATCACGTACACGGAAGAAAAAGAGAAAAAGCCCATTTGGAAAATTAAGCTTTTGGTGAACGGCAGTGCTGCGGGCCGAGTGACCGGAGATCCCTGGCTCTCGAGTCCTTCCCACACTGTAGACTCTCAGCACTCTCAGCTCTGTCCGCCGCCCAAGTCTACCACACTGCCCTCCGTGCCATTGGCCCATACTCCTTCAGAGATAAATGGAGTTTCTCAGCCCCATTTTCGTTCCTGTCTTTTTGCCCCTTTTCTTCCCACACGTCGCTCGCTACCCTCGAAGCATTTCTGCCGTTGTCTTTAAGTATTTCGTCCCACTTTAGTCATTCTTTGACAACTATGGACAATATTCAGGTCTTTTGACTCATAAATTCTGCGTTTTCTGCAGTCAGCCGGGCGAAGTACTGGAAACTCTATAAGAACTCCACTTGGCAGTCCCACCGAATGTAGCAGGGATGTTTGAATACCAGGATTTTAGCTAAACAACGCAACCTGTGAGCTCCAGCCAAAGCTGCAACTCCACATGTGCATTTATATAAGTTTCCATTGATATGGAATAAAGGGATGCGGTGGGGGAATAAGTACCCCTTTGTTCTTCGTTAAATCGGCCAGGAATTGTCCCTCTCTCACTTGGTATCGTTGTCTCTGAAAGTTGTGCCAATAATTCAATCCAAGAACAATATAATGCCGACATTGTGACTCTGGCTATCTCTCCCGGAATTTTTCGCCCCTGAGTTTGATTTGTACGGCTTAGCAGGTCCCCAATTCTGATGGATTACGAAACCAACGAACAACTTATAGCCTGGATGCTCCGGACAATTCCTCCGTCTCTTATTGTCAACTCACCGGTCAGTATGGCACCCTGTTGTGTTATTTCCTATATCTGAGTGTCGTTATAAGGGTCTACTTGGGTGCTTTCGCGGCTTTGTGTTCCAATGCACAGAAACCGAACGACGGATCCTCTTCGACTCGCCATCATATCAGGAAGGGGCAGCTACCATGGCCTTGGAAGTAGAAAGGTCTATGGAATCTTGTCAACAAGTTTTTTCGCTTGATATCACCCCCTTCATAGCTGAAGCTGCATCAAGCCCTGTTGTGATTGGTCTGGAACAGAGGACTTGTTTCCCTTCCACTCCAGAGGAATCGGAGACACCCAACTTCTCGCTGGTTGCTTCTGAACTGTCTCCATCCGTTTCCTCCCAGCCAGACGGGGTGGTTGAGACCGGCTCTACCGATGCGGCCTATGCTCCTCTGGAGAACCATACGAATGCGGCGGCTTTCTTCAGGGCCAGATTGGGATCTCGAAACTCAAGGGCAACCTATCTAGCCCGGGCGCTCCAGGGTTTAATCAATGCCATGGAACTCGATGGAGCAACATACGCGAATCTTTGGTCCACTCGGGAAAGGATTTTCTCCGGCGTTGGTACAAGTCCAGTCGCTCGCTTTCAGAGACTGTTTCATGGTTTTCTTCGGGTGAAGCGTGGCCGCGATGATTATGATTGTGCAAGTCGCCTCTTTCACATATTCTTGGATCATGATCTTGAACAGTTGGCGACCTCTGACCTCCTCCGCTTATCCCGTGGCCGTGGCAGAAAGTCTGCCGCTTTGTCTTTGCAGGCAGCAAGCATATCAGCCTCCATAGGCGCTGTAAAAGCCGATCGTAAGGCTGGCCAAAGGTACATGCAAATTCTGATGGATGCCGGCCCGGGGCTATTGCTCATGCTTGGTAGCCAGATAAACACAGTGTAAGTGTGTTGTACGCCTTCCAGACATTTGCAAGAAACTGACTAGATTGAAACAGGTGGGAAAGAAAACTAAGTAAGGGAGATGTCTCTCTTCTATTGGAATATCTCAGGTTGCAGCGGCCTGAAATCCTGGAGAAAGGCTGCTCACTGGACAAGGTGGCAACAGCATTGATTCTTCAGGGTTTCTTAGCGTATGGCTGGACGTACAAGGAACTTTCCGAACGCCCGTCTAGAGTGGTGAACCGACTGCGCTCGTACATCGATGTTGCAGAACTAGCATCACGGCATGATATAGATGCTATCGCTCTTGGTCAACCCCTCGGTTGCACCTTACTCGCGCCGGTCAGCTATGACGGAGATAACACTCCGGATAACGCACAGCTAAAGTGCTTCAACTCTGCATCCTGTCAGGCTCATGAAACACGCCTGCACCTGTTTCACTTAAACGTAACAGACCCTCCATCGGAGATGGGCGAAAAAATATCACGGAGTTGATCGCTGATGATTCACCAGAGACGATGCCTCACTGGTGCGACGCTACTTAGGAAACCATACCTTTTTCCAGCTAGCCTTCTTTCGCGCAAGTTGTGCCCTGGACTTCTCTACGTATGTAAAAGTGGAATTTTAAATTGCAAACACACTATGACAGTGACTTCCTTTGTCCGTGTCGGGACATATCCTTCAGCCAGAATAAGCAAAGACATGTTGTACGTAATCTTGCTAAGCTGCGGCTCCCGCCGTATGGATTCAGGGGCATTGGACCACGACCTGGAATACACATCTATCTACATGAATCAATCAACTTTCGCTTTAGGGGCATGAACACTGTTCACTTAACTGTGTACACGGTACCTAGCTGGTGATACCAACGAAAATAATGAACGTTCACATTTCACTTTACTAGAAAAGGGTGCAGTCTGTCATTGGAATAGTAGAAACTTGCGCGTTGCCTACAAAATGCTTGGCAATCTCGCAAGCTCGGATGCAACAACGCTCTATCTTTGGGAAGGTTTGGTAATCGTTACGCATGTAATTCCCTTTCTGAAAACGACTCAAACACCGATACAGAAAGAAACTAGATCCTAGATATTAGCTCTAGTAGCTTATCGGTATGTATTTTACCTGTCACGACTGAGTTCCTGTTGCCTTGGAATCATGTCTCCTGGCTACACATGTAATTTGGATCATTGTATGCCAGAAATAGTTTTCGGTTGGAATTAGGAATTATGGTTATAACAGCATTTCAAAATACACATATTTATCAATCTTCCTATACCGGTTGAAAAACTTCTATTTCGTCCTGAATATAAGTCTTATTCCAAAAACTCACTGGAATGTATCAGTCGTAGTAATTACTCCAGGCGTAAAAAATCGACTTCGCAGCCTATCTTCCGAACCCTCATTAAACCATATAAACTGGTCTGGTGATCACACAATTTGGACGACACATTGCTTATTCATTGTCGAGGTTCCATGTACTCTTGGTTCTTATTGAGCCTGTCGCTTGAACTTTTACTAAAGTACAACGTAACTCATGCGTGATATTACTTGTAATAATATGAGGCTGGCCTGTTCATGCTGTGAAAAGATACTGTGCATCCCCATGCATCTTTGTGCGGGCTAATTGCTCGCATCCCCGATAGTAAAATCGAAGGGCAGATGTTTAGTGCATTCGCGCTAACGCTCCACGGAGTCCGGCATATAAAGTAGTCCTCAATCTTTTGAGTTCGTGATTTTCGTCCCGACGCACTTGCTTGGCAGGAGCACTGCTCTCTTTCCGATCTTATGCTTAGGCCTCTCCCTATTCCTATATAATGCTCGATTCTCGGCAGGTCACTGCTGATACTGTTCTCATCCCTTCTGTGCCTGGTTGATTCACTGTTGATTGAGAAAAACAAAAGTTCGAACATGGCAAAGAATCCCAAGCATCCTCAGAATAACGCAGACCTCAGGTCTGACGGCGTACGGCGGCGTGCTGCACCGTCTTATTCCCTTCGTTCTACTGGTCCTGAGACCAAGGATAGACGAAAGTCACGCAAACCAGAGACGAAATCACACAGAGATTCGGTACGCCAATGCTCACCTGTTTGGATCGTACTACGCTATGGCCAGAACAGCCCCGGCGGCATCCCTTTTATTTCAATGTACTCTTTACTGACCATGCTAGACATCCTCAATTACGAAGAAGCCCAAAAGGGAAACCGACAAAGCGACGCATAGAAAGTGTCTCCGGGTGATGAGCAATATTGAGGAGGAATTTCAAGAGGTGCTTGAGGAGAGAGATGGAGAGAACCACGATCTTTCTCAGTTGCTGGACCAGCTCAAGGCTGAGAAAGCGCAAAAGAGTTCGGAATTGCAAATCGCAGTTACGGCGAGGGATACCGCATTAGCCGAGCAGCAGAAGCTCCAGCGTGAGATTTGCCAATTGCAGCAGCAGGTGGAATCCACGAACACCGCTTTGCAAGATCAGGTCCCGTGGAATGATATATAGCTGGTGTTGGATCAGGCACACGCAGAGCTGGTTTCCACGACCACTCGATTCTGGAGCACGATCGACGCCTTTCAGAACAGACGATTGGCATCCTATTTGCCAGGCTCCGGAATGATCCAGGCGGAATGGCCTGATCAGGGCGGCGCGGGTACGCTTGGCCACGATATGCTCCCCAGCATCTCCCAATCGAACAATGACAATGTCCCGCTTGGTACTCAACATGAACTAGCTACCACCAACTGAGATGAGCACAATTGGGGTGTGTTGATTGGGCAAGGTCCTACTGATGGAGTGAGCTAGCTTCTATGTATGGAAAGGACCGAAACTCTTACGAGTCATGTCTTTCCTGCAGACGACTGGCTTTTAATATAGCCGACGCGCAGATAGTTCATGAAGAAGCATTCGCCACATTCTTATTATACATGTACCGTGCGAAATTGTGTGTATTGTCAATTCTGTTAATTGCCCTGAAGGGGACGGCTATGTGCTTTTGTCTAATAGATCCGAGCACGGGCGGCTCGAGGCAGTATTCGGTGCAGATTAGCGGCAGAGTCCGCTACAACCTCCACGGCCGATTTATTATGCCATAAATAAATATAAGCGTAGATTGGACTCTTACTTATGGCGAGACAGCCGTAGAGTATTCGACATCACACCGCTCCAGGCCGAGACGCCCGGGTACGCTCTGGATGAGAGAAAAGGCCCTGCCACGCGGGCCTGTGGATTTGTTACACACTGGGATCCCTTGCCGTAAAGTAAACGCATTTCCAACGGTCCTATCCGAATATTACTTATATCTGTGCTATGGGTTTCATGGAGAAATCCGCGCTTCTCTTGCGCATTATAGCCATTAGTTCTTCTCGGCGTTCAGCCAAAGCTTGCCGTAGTATCCTGGTCCAGCCCAATCACAAATAGCAATTGCTCGTTGAGTGGGATATCGCAAGTCGATAGATGTGGCACTACTGTGCGAGTATCAACTGCTAAGGATCGCACCTTGCTATATGGCGTATGATTCTAGAGCACTACTGTAGGATTAGCCTTCTTGGGAATTTCGTCACTTATACAGACCAAGTACAAGCATAGTGAGCCAGTCAATACAAATCAGCTGCAATGATGGAAATAATCAAATCTTTAATCTACTCGGTAAAATGTGGTGGCTCGCGACAATAGCACGAGGGTTCAAAAAAGCCATCTCGGTACAGTCCATATACCAGTCAAACTTTTCTGTCTGCAGAGCTTAGAAGATCACTGGTAAAATACAAACACCCCATGCAACGACAAACGGTCCATCGCTCGCCATGGCGTCAGTTTGGCATTGAGTCAATCGAGTTTTGTCCAGTGACCGTCCAATCCAGCGTCAATGATGAGCGTGTTCATATTCTGTTGGTTGAACTGGTGGTCATACCTCAAGACCAATACAGACTGATCTTGGTCTGATATACATGGTTCGGCATCCAAGTAAAGCTCCAGTCGCATCACTGCTGCCGGCGCAGGGATCGGCCGATCTTCTGGCCCTCTGTAGCTTTATTTGAACCCTGCCGTGTCCCCTTTTGGATCTCACTTTCGACGATTGCCAATCGACCAAAAATGTCGGCCAGGTCATTGCGTATCGTTTCATTCCAGGTGGCTTAGTCCTGCGATGAGCGCTCAATAGACCTGCGAAGACAGTTAGCGCTTTACATTGTCACTCAAGATGGACCACTACTGACCGCATCCGATTATCTAGTCTAGATGTTGTTAGCAGGCCAGTCTTGATTATGTGCTTGATAGGATTGTACTTAATCCGTCAGGCATTCCAGAGCAACCGAACTGCCATCTCCGGAAAGCTGAGTCTGCCCGCGTGGTTCCAAGTCCCTTTGGTGTCCAAACACAGTCTTCCGCTGTCGTACAGCTTCTTGCTCACTCTCATCGGCCGAGGTGCTATTGTCCTGGTCGACAGAGTCGTGTTCCTCCTGAAAGGATGAATCGTCCTCTGTGGTATCGCCTGTAGCGGATGGACTACCAGTATCCTCAGACTCAGAAGACGACAAGGACAATGCACGTTGCAATCGGCTTCGAAAGTTGTGTCGTCGAGGAGTGTGCGAGACTTTCCGAATTCCGCCCATACTTGGGTCTGAGTTACGCTGGGGTGAGGAGTGGTCCTAGTTCTGGTTTTCTGTGATAGGAGGAGGCGCTCGGGTTTTATAGCATGTTGTATCGCAGGATCAGGATTGACTGCTTGCTCGCAATTGAGGAGGGGTTCGCAAGTGCACGCATTTTTCATTCCTACATTCTGCCCGTAGATATCTATTTCTGAATCTGCGCATTTTTAACAATGACTCACTAAGAGGCGGATCAGACAATAGAATTCAAAAATGGGTGAAACAACGGGAAATTGTCAACAAGAATGGACTCTTGTGGCCGCGTTCAACGTTGTTGATTCTCAACGATGTGCGTTGCATCAAAAAATGAGGGCTTGTTTGGGTCAAATCTCATAGACACACAGAAGTCGATTTTATCTGCCACACTTCAATCTTTTAAACTCAACAACCCTACATCTTCAAGTTTACTTTCTGCAGTTTTCTTCACCTGTTCTGACCACTTCTGCCAACTACCCAAGCATAACCATGTCCCCACGTAACGCTTGCGGCTGGCCAGAATGGGAGGAGAAAAACCTTCTTCCATGGTTGGATGCTCATCCGGAGCTGTCGTGGAAAGCTCTCTCCGACGCATATTATGAAGAATACCAGGTGCATCGAAGCGTTGAGTCTTTACGAGGAAAAAAGTACCATATCCTGCGGAAGCAGAGTCGCACTGGTGCCAAATCTCCCCCAAATCCAAGCAAACAAAAGCAAGCAGGCGCCGTACGGCGCTCCGTGGTCGGTAGCGCTTCACGGTCGAGTCTTTCGGCCAAGACACCTACGCAAAGGAACATTGACAAATGGTTCCAAACAATTCTAGCGGCCGACCCTAACCAGCCCGATGACAGCAAAACGCCAACTCAAACGATCCCAATTTCAGGTAC